AAAGGGGGGGGGGGGGAACTAAAGGCATGACTGAAGTGATTTCAATGGAAACTTGCAGCATCTGAAACAATAGCTCTGCAATGCTGTCCCAGTCATTTTAGTGGCTTCCCGCACAATTGCCAATGTTGGTGCTTTATATAGCCCTAAGTTAACTCTTTTGCCATTCATTAAAACGGGAAAGGAAGAAGAAGAGTTGCCTATTAGGGAAATCTTAAAAGGCCTCAGCAGCTCACCAGTCAGTTGGGAGAGAAAAGGCCCCCTGCAGCTGTGCAGTAATTTGGCTCAAGCGTTTGTAGCAAAATTACATCTTAATTCTTGAATAGTCACTAAAAGTTTTCAGGCAAGTGAGGAATCATGACTTTTCAGTCAAGTAGGCAACATGCATGATGAAGTAAAGTTGAATTTGATTAAAATACCAAAGTAAAACAGGGCTCTAACAACACATAGAAAGTACAGTGGGGAAATGAATGAGGGATCTTGCTCAGTTTTCCTAAAAAGGCATCGGGTGTGGAGAAACCAAACTTATTCCCAAGTTAGGAAAATGCTGCTATAATTGACAAATAAGTCACAAATAAGTGAACAACTTGTTGCCTAAGGCGCTGGCTTCGAGAGAGAATTGCAGTAAGCAGATTTAATGTCTCTCTGCCACCAAAAGGAGCATGCTGCACTTCCATCCATTTCCGTCCCCAGTGTGTACTTCGTGTTGCCACGTGCACTTGTTGGACCCCTCTGCAAGCTTCTTAGCTGAGCTAATGCAGCATAAAATTACCCTGATATAAACAGGAGGTATTTTTCTTTTTTTTTCTTTTTTTTTTGTCTAGTGAGTTTAGGAGAGCTTAAGGAGAATCTGTTTTCCAGCTCTTAAAGCTGTATGTGGCAAAGGCATAGAGTGTATTAAGGTAATTTGCTAAGTAAACGGAGTGATCTATGTTCAAAATACAGTAGGTGTGCATGCTTGGATAGCTCTGTGTGGAAAATCTATAGGAGGAAGGTCTGTAAAAACTTTCAGCTCTGTGAAGGCCAACCGTGTCCAACGCCTGCGTAAGTTACTTATTCAACAGGCAGAGCGCTGCTGGCAACTTTGCCTGCACTGGACAGAGGCTGTGGAGGTCTCTGGAAGGCTTCCTTCTGGAGGAGGTAGCCTTGGTGTTCGTGTAGCATCAAGACAGTAGGTCTCTGCCTCTCATTGCCCACTACTGCCCCTGCTTTGCTCTTGCTCTGGTGGTTTTTGGAGCCTTTGGGCCAGTTCAAGTCCCAAGACCTGCAAGGAACAGCACAGGAAGAGCAATTTGGTGGGCTACAGGAGCAAAGCTCTGTCTTTTCAGGGTGGCAAGGTACATGTGAAGGAGCATGGGAAGAGCAGGTCTTGTCCTCAAACCCATTTGATTTCCCCCTGTGGTGCAACTCTGACTATGTTAGGAGTATCTTTTTGAAGCATCTGCATATCACGCTATGTGGATTGCAGATTCTTCAAGAAGCCTGGGGTTGCTTGTATCCCTAGTTATTTACCTGTGCAGGCAGCACTTAGCATTTGATCTAGGTAATAGTATGCAGTGTAGGCTGAGACTTCAGTGGCACAGAAATCTCTCTCTGGAATAGTTTGGATGGCAGCAGATAGCATCCCAGGGCTGTTTTACCAGGGAGATTGTGTATGGTTTAATTTCTCACAAGCATTTCCGTGTACTGTTGGGTCAGATAACACTGTCTATGTATAAAAGGGGTTTTTGATACTCTAAAACACCATCCTGTCAAAAGACTGCTGGATCACCAAATACATGGCTGATAGCTGTTCTGGAGTTCTGGTTTTTGAGGAACGTACTGCATGCCTTGGTGAGGAAGGAGCCTGGGTTTGTGTCTGGGAGGACGTGCTGATGGTGCCTCCTACCAGAGACCTTATCTGGCCTCATTTGGCTTTCACAGGCCCAGGAGGGTCTTGGATTTCCTGATTCTTCGTTATCAGTAACCATTCATTTGCATAACTTGTATAATGTCAGAAGAAATTCTATGTCCTAATGATGGATAACCTCGAGTAAATAGAGTGGGAGGAGGGGAAGAAGGGAACTGATGTATGCTAAGCATGAAGCCTTTTTTAATCAACATCAGGGAATGGCAGGTCAGGCTTGTGATGAGAATTAAGTTCCTAATTCTGAGTGTTTGCATAATGCCCTTCTCTACAAAACACTTCCACAAATACTAATTAGTGTGAATTACAACTTAGTGATTACGAAAATTATGGCTGTGAAAATCTGCACAGATCGCTGATAACACAGAGTTCATAGTTTTGGGGTGGTTTTTTTTCTGCATTCAAGGTTTTGTCTGAGGTACTTGCCCTCCCTGCCCAAGTGCTTTGTGTTCCATAAATACAAAATCTGAAGCACGCACGGCAGTAACCGCCCCAGTATCCAGCTTGTTCCCAGTGCATTGCCTGCCACCGAGGCAGTGGTGTGGTGTTCCCACCCTCAGCTCTATGGCAGCTCATCTTCTGGTGGGCTGGGTTTGCACGCTGACGAAGAGCAGTCTACTTTGACCTTGCTGTCTTCAGTTTGCACGTTAGTACTTTCTGTTTTAAAATCGTTGAATGGTTAGTGCCAACAAAATTAAATCTTTGAGGTGCCCCACAAGTGATGCTACAGGTGAAAAAAAATATAGTAAACCTGTCCTCATGCAAGGAGACATGATATTACCTTTTTACGTGTGACTTCAAAAAGGTGTGAGTGGTGACACACATACTGGTGCACTCTTGTAATTCCCTAACATGTCAAAAATGACAACCATGTCACCTTTTCAGCCCTTCACCCTGTATTTTATTGATCTTGTTCCATTTTAAGTAAAGCAAAATCCAAAGTTTTGATCATGAATGCATATATACGGTATACTTTACAGCTGCTGGTAACAGTCGCCTGAAATAATTGAATGGAAATGCTTCAGTATGTGAAACTGGACTAAGTTGTGAGATTTAAATGCTCTTTATTGCGCTGACATTCAACCTGATGGCTGGCTTGCAGCTGACAGACTACTTTGAATGGGTCTGGTGAAAGCTGCCTACGAAAAGCAAGTTCGCATATTCTTTGTGGAAATGGCATATGGAGCTGACTAAAAGGGATCCTCAGTTCCACTGGGAAACTTGTGGGAGTTGACAAGTTGAAAAATTTTGGAAATCTCCACATAAAGATCCAATTCTTGCTTAAAAATAGCCATGTGCTCTGGTGCTTTGTATCATTCTCCTTGCATGGGAAGAGCCAGGGGGAAGGGGAATTATAAACACTAAGCGTATGAGTGAGAGAGGTAAAAATCTCCTATTCCTTTGGCATAAAAGAGCCAAACTCTGCAGCAAGTGCCTCCACCTTCAGCAGCAGCCATAGCTCTTCCTCCTCATCGGCGCTGCACCAACACCTGTGACTGCAGGTTGCAGCTCCAAGGGAGGACTGCAAATCTCTACACCCCTCTTGCCAGTCATCATTTTTGGAGTGGTTTCTTCCTCACCCTCCAGTCAGGCTGGTTTTGTGGGTCTCTGCAGCCACTGTGGGCATGGCAAGGTGGAGGGACTTGGAGCTCGCAGTTTTCCCGTGAGTGTTACTGTCGGCTCTCTAAGGCTCAGTGAAGCGACAGGAGACTTCTTTTGTGCTCAGTCCGTGTTTGCTAGGCTCACCCTCGGCAATGACGCCAAGAAAAGTAGTTTTTTGAGCCAGCTCCTCTTGCAGATGAGACTGAAAACATATGTCTGTTGGGAAGAGGAGACCTCTGTAGTAAGCTCTGTGACTGTAGGCTATAGGGAAACAATAATATACCATGCCATATAACATAGAATACCACACACTCTCCCGCGCTACTACGGAAAGCACTAAGAAGTTGCTTCTAATCTCCAAGAGACTTGTTTATGGCCTTATAGTAGTTCCTAGATGTTTCCTTGTTCATCTTGGGTGTTTTGAAAATGGTGGTTAAATCAAGCATTAATATGATGTGCTGTCTCTGCTTAATCCCATCGGAAATGAACTTGTCAGTGCACAGCTGGCTGACGAATCTGGGTTTTAGTAAGCAGAAAAAAAAATGAGAAGAATAGAACAAGTGTTAAGAACGGGTGGCAATGTTTGGAAGGGATTGCATGACTTTGTTCCCCATCTTTGCCAGCTGTAATGATCTAGTGTTATGTCCATCCCGGCTTTAACACTGTTTTTCCATGCTTCCTTATTTTTTAGGGTTGGTCGACAGCCTGTACTGCTCTTCTCTGTCATATTCATTTTGATATTTGGACTGACTGTGGCACTCTCAGTGAACGTGACCATGTTCAGCACACTCAGGTTTTTTGAGGGGTTTTGCCTGGCTGGAATAGTCCTCTCCCTGTACGCACTGCGTGAGTATGCCTTCCTCACCCATCCAAATGTGTCTTTATCAAATACATGGTTTGCTGTTCTCTGGCATCCCGCTCTTGTCCAAACAGATCAAACCAGAACCATACGGACTGAAAAAGCTTTAGCCTGAGTTTTGGTAAGGAGGTAGGAATTTTGCAGCTATCTCTTTAGGTTGTTTGAGAGCTCATTTTAAAAGAGTTCTAAGGTGGTTTGGGTTTCCTTGTTGTTATTCAAACCTAGAAGTCATTGGTGTTGTAGCCGTAATGTGTAATGGGAGTTGATTTCTCCTTGCGGTATTGAGCTCAGTAGGAGACTCCCCGCTTCAGCTGTCTCTAGCAGTACATATTCTGGCACTTTTTCAGAAATTTCTCTGCTACTTCCACTAAGAGATCCCATGTCCCTGCCTCAGGATTGTAAAGTACAGCAAAAATATGTGAGAAGAGGAGCCTGAAGTCCTTTTATCAAGATTTTTTTGTTGGTGGTGGTGGTTTTGTCTGTTTCATGGGAAGAAAAAAACCAACTGAGGGAAACTTGAGGGAAAGCTTGAAAGAAATGTCTACATGCTCATATCTGGGGTGATTGGTAAACTTGTAGCCAAAACATTTGAAAGCCCCTTTTGGAGGCCTTGCCTTTGGTGAGTACATGCGTGATGCTACCAGCCTAATCTGTGTCCCTTGAATATGCTCCCGAGAGCTCCATATGCTTCTGCTTCCTTGGCTATTTGTAATTAACAGGTGATACTGCACCAACTGAGGAAAACACAAAATTTACCCCTCTTCATTATGGCTCCGGAAGAGTATTGCCTGACTGTATCCTGGAAGTTGCTGTACAGATCTTCAAAAAATTTTTTATTTATTTCCTATCATAGATGGTATCTAACCCATCCAGATTTTATCCTTACTCTGCATGGAGTGCTTCGTAGTATTAAGTGCCGCAGGTTTTGTTTTGGTTTTGGTCTGTACCAAGGGGAAATAAGCCTGACTAGAGCATACAAGAGTTTGTTCTGTGTTGCACTTCTTTGTTACAGCTGATATGGTACCCGGGATACATATTTGTTTCTTCTCTTGCCTTTGGTCATGGAATCTCTAGTGAGAATTTTTCACCAAAACTACCACTGAGGACATTACACTTCTATTGGGAAGTGTTCCCGTGGCAAGAGGCTTCAGCCATTACCAGTATGACATTGAACTGCAAATTAGGCTTGTTGGGATTTTTCACAGCCCAGTGCAGCATGTTATTTTTTCTTGGTCAGTGGTTTTGGTATTTTTTTTTTTTTTAACTTTTAAGAGAGTCATTGCAACTGAAGATTTTCCTGGGGAAATGCCATCTAAGTACAAGTGTCGTTACGGACCTTTTGAGATCAGAGCGAGAGCGCGCATGAATCATCTTAGATCAGACAGTAGCTTGCCAGCCAAGGCTTTCATTCAGCAAATGGGAGATCCTGGTTAGTTCATGCTCTGCTTGGCCCAGAGCAAGGACTTGAGCCTGATTTCCCACCCACACCATCCCCCATAGTTCAAGCATTTGCTATAACCACTGCTGTCTGGATAGCCACTGCATGAATAGAGCTAGTAGGTGTTAGGAGAGAGCTGTGTGATATTAGCTGCAGCCTGAACATCGGTGTGCTTCTCTGGAAGTGAAAAAATGTGAAAGGTGCGGCACCTGCACCTCTGGTAAATCTTCTGACCTTCTGGCTGGGGAGGTGAGGGCAGTGGGTTTTACTGTATTAAATATTTTCATTTAAACAAAACAAAAAAGTTTTCGTCTTGGTATAGAGTAGTTGGAGAGGATTAATCCCTAGAGTCTTAAGAGAATGGGAATAACAGGCTTTTGTTTGATTTTATGGTTGGTTTTCATAATCTGTTAGGCTTCCTCTCAATTTGGATTTACTATCTTTCCTTTTCTGCTGGTGTCCATAGCATGCTGTTGCACTCCTTTTTGGAATCATCTTCTGTTCCATAGCCCCTCCTTCCTTTCTCTTAATGGCCTGGATTTCTTCCTCCAGAGGTTTCTTACCCCTGAATTCCCAGCTGGTTGCCCTGAACAGAACAATACAAAGTGGAAAGTTTGATCTGCTAGATGCAGTCATTAGCCAAAGTTTTCAAAGCTACTGTGCAGAAGCAAACCGTATAGGCTTGCATAGCCTGCAAAGGTAATTAGCCTGCCACAGGGATCCTTTTCCACTGTGTTGAGCTTGCTAGTTGTGCTTGGATTTATGGCTTGCCTAAGGGAAATTGTAAATAAGAGCCTTGGATGCTCTGGGAATGGGAAATGCACCGAAGCGCTGTCTTTAAAACGCAGAAAGGTTGAGTTGCCCTCACTGTTCAAACTGCACTCAACAGCCTGATGCTGTTTTCCTACATGTCTGCCCTAAGGTGCGGAGCGAGCCCGGGGACGAGCCTTACCTTCTGTGGAGGGCCAGCACTGAGCCTGAGCCGCCAGTGCTCCTCTGCAGGCTTTCCTCAGCCTCGGAGTGAGCTAGCTTCTTGTGGCCTCCAAGTACAGTCTCTTGCCTGGAGCTGCTTGGGACTTGTCTAAAGAAACCACTTTTGGATGTTGATTCATTAAATTGAAAAGTTTTCCTGCAGCTGCTGTCATTTTGTTGGAAAAGTTGTTTCAGGTGAAACTTCTAGTGAACCTGTGGGAAGAGGCAAGCTTTGCAGAGGTGACGGTGATTGCTGCGGAGGAGGGGAGCAGAGGAGAAATGAATGGGGGGCTTTCTCCTCCTGGGTGCTGTGGGTCTTTGCATCATCTAGGAGAGTGAAAGGTGGTTAATCCTTTTCCACTGAAAAACGCACACAGCTTTGGAAGGCTTTTGTTTCACACTGATATGGAGGGGCGGGGAGCTTCTACTGTCTTCCAGAAGCAGTTTCCTGCCTGGTACCAACCTTCAGTGGGCTCCTGTGCTCCTGAGCATCTGGCACACATCTTGGGTGGTGAGGCACCAGCAAGATCCCTGGGAAGCTCTCCCCAGGAGGGCGAAGAGGCTCCTGATATGCCACGCTCGGCAGCCGTCTGATGCATAGAGCTGGAGCTGCCTGCTGCGATACGCTGGTTAGGTCCCCTGCTATGTTTGCTGAGCAGATTTCTGCAGAATTGGGCCGCCCTTGATGGAGGAGGGTGCGGGGACCAGAGGTGAAATCTCCTGGAGAGAGAAATGGTGGAGGCGTGCTAAGGAGCACTCTGGCTGCAGGGGCTGGGGGGGGGGG